ATGTTGTATACATAATACATAAAATCTTTTTTTTTAAAAAAAAAGGAATTTAAAAAGTCCTAGAATTGTATGAAAATGAAAACACAACATATCGCTTCTACTAAAAACCAGGAACACACAACAATGTCCATCTTCCCCCTGTTCAATACATAGAATGAAGTCTCAACTAGAAAAATAAAAAGGCATACAAATAGGAAAAGAAGAAATTAAAGTGTACTTATTAACGTATGATTATATGCATAAACGACTCTAACCCCTCCACCAGAAAACTCCTACAGCTAATAAATACTTCCAGCTAGATGGAAGGATATAAAATTAGCACACAAAAGTCACTACTGATGCTGTATATCAATGATAGAGGCACTGAGAAAGAAATCAGGAAAACAACCCTCTCACAATAGGCTAAAAAAAAATCTTGTAATAAAGATAACAAAGGAAGTGAGAGACTTGTATAAGGAAAACATTAAAACCATTAGAAAGAAACTGAAGAAGATACCAAAATATAGAAATAAGCCACAATCTTATGGACTGATAAGATTAATATTTTGAAAATGGCTAAAGTACAAAAAATAATCTACAGATTCAATGTAATACCCATAAAATTTAATGTAATGCTTTACAGAAATTTAAAAAAATCTTAAATATCATGCAGAAATGCATACACACACACACACACACACACACACACACACACACACACTCAAAATGAGTATAGTCAAAATCATCCTGAACAATAAAAGAACTACTGGAGACATAACCATACTTGATTTTAATTTACACTGAAGAGCTATAGTAGTAAAAACAGAATGGAACTGACATAAAAACAGGCTCACTTATGAACTGAATAGAACTGAGGAACCAGATACAAAATTATGAACTTATAGATGTCTAATTTCTGGCAAGTTGTCAAAAGTACTCCAGAAAAAAAAGGACAGCCTTTTCAACAAATAGTGCTGGACAAACTGGATAGCTACATGGAAAGGATAAATCCAGATACTTATTTCTCACCCTGCATGAAATTCACCCCAAATAGATAAAGAACTTCAATGTAAAACCTAATATTCTAAATCTGCTAGGAGAAAAAGTAGAGCACAGGCAAATGTAAGGGCATTCTGAATAGGACTGCACTAACACATGATGAATTAAAACAACAATTGAACATAAGACTGTGTAAAACTAAAAGGCTTCTGTACACCACAGGATACCATCAACAGAGTGACGTGGAGACCACAAAGAGCTATATATCTGACAGAGAATTAGTGCCTAGAATGTACAAAAAATATCAAAACACTAAACATCAGGAAAACAACCTAATTTTAAAATGGACTATGAAACTGAAAAGAGAGAAATCAAAAAAAGACACGCAAATGGCTAAGAAATGACTTTTTAAATATTCAACACCCTTAACAGCCAGAGAAATTCAAATTTAAACTACTTTGAGATTTCATCCTAACCCAGAATGGCCACCTTTAAAAGAAAAGGAGACAAATGTTGGACTAATGATGTGATGAAAGAGAAACATTTATTCACTGTTGGTGGCAACATAAACTGGCTCAGCTACTATGGGAGGGTCCTCAAAAGGCTGGAAATAGACCTACTGTAGGATCCAGCAATACTATTCTATATTCTGTTCTAGAGATACTCACTTGTCATTGTTCACTGCTGCTCTATCCACAATAACAAGTAAATGAGACAGCTTAGGTGTCTATCAGCTGAAGAAAGGACAATGAAAACGCATGCACACAATAGAATGTTATTCAGCTGTGAAGAGAAATAGAATTTACAGGGAAATGGACAGAACTGGGAATAATCATTGTGAGTGAGTTAACCCAGACCCATAATGATAAACACCACATACTAGCTCTCATATGTAGATCTTTTAATATGTTTATGCACAAGTCAGGAAACCAGAAAGGGACATGGGAGGCAAGAGATTTTAAGGCAAGGGAGATAGTAGAATACAGGGGGGAAGAGAAATAATGGGGCAAGAAGGGATAATTGACACTTATTTCAAAGACAGGAATATATATATATATATATAGAGAGAGAGATAGATAGATAGATAGATAGAGAGAGAGAGAGAGAGAGAGAGAGAGAGAAAGAGAGAGAGCAGTTTAATATTATATTCATTTGGCACTCTTGGTGGGATGCATTATGGAAATCAGTGTGGAAGTTCCTCAAAAAGCTAGAAATAGAACTATTGTATGATCCAACAGGAGTATATACAACTCCTGTGTATATACCCAAAGGATTCTGCTGATAGATAGGCAGGTAGATGCAAGATATATAACATAATGGATACCACATAATAATATATATTAAGAGATAGATAGATAGATAGATAGATAGATAGATAGATAGATAGATAGATAGGAGAGAGAGAGTTTAAATGGGCCTGCCCAATATGCCTCTCCAAGACACAATAGACTATCAAACAAAAGGCCCTGTGTTTGGTATGGGATACTTCCTTTGAAATTTTGGCCAGAGACCCCCAAAACAAGACAGCCTATTAATATTGTTCTTTGTTACTCTCCACAACTTGATACTAAGACCTTATTGCTGAAGACAACACATACACGAGTCATAGGACATGGAAGAATCATGCTGACACTAATCTGGAAACATCATCCTCACTGGCTAGCTTGCATAGTGTTAGAAAGTGCTGTGCACAGTATTGAGGAAAAGAAGAAAATTAATCAATGGCCTCACTCAACTATAAACCCCAAAAGCTACAATAATGATCAGTCTGGCAAGATACGCCCTATGGTGCGATAGTGGCACAAATGTTAATCAACCACTTTCTGATTAGATTTACGATCTGCTCCACAAGATTGATCTCATAAATGATATCAGTAACTGAGCCAGGAGCTCACCTTTCTAAGTTATAGGCCCTGGGGCAAAAACTACTACTATTATTCTTCAAAGTGAATGTGTCATTGATCAATAAATACTTATCTTTATACCCAAACTGTAGTATAGCTCTCTGCTGTCATCGTGATTGATACAGAGGTTCAAACTGACCGAAGTGCAGAGAACAAGAGACTGTGGAGTGTTCTGCCCTAAATGATGGGACTTCTATATCATCCCACATCATGCCAAGGCTCAAGGATCACCATGGAAGAGGGAACAGAAAGATTTTAAGCCAAAGGCTGTGGAGAACAGCTGCAGTGGGCTCTTCTGGACATGATAGTGAGTGCTGTCGCACCTGTGAACTCACAGTACACAAACAAGGCCTGCGTAAGATCAAGCCAGTCAAATGCCATCATGGATAGGAAGGGACCCATAAAATTCCACTACTAGCTATTGCAATTGATGGATCCTGGAGGGAGGGAGGGGGCACGGGTGGTCACGGTCCCTGGTAACTTGCCAATTATCCAGTGGCTGGCCCTAGACATACTGGCAGCACTAGGTGAACTCTGAGAGGTTTTGTTGTTGTTGTTTTGTATTATATGTTTTTGTATTTTTTTTGTATTATATTTTTAAATACATCAAGGTGGAAGGGAAACTTTGTGGAGTGGGAGATATGGGAGAAGTTGGATAGAAAAGAATTTGGGGCCAGATTTGATCAAAGTACACAATGTGTATGAAATTCCCAAAAACTGCAGTTTTTAAAAGGAAAAAAATCAATAAATATTAAATGTAATTAAATGTTTGAGGTAGCAGCCATGCTAATCGCCCTAATCTGCTCATTACACATCCTATACACATCACATTGTATCTTAAACTATACAAAGATATTATTTATCAATTAAAATTAATAGTTTAAAAACAGTAACAGAAATGTGGTCTCTCACAATGAAGAACCAGGAATGAAAAACTAAGGTTCTGGCCCTCAGCTCCACATCTGAAGCTCCCTCTGGAGAAGAACCCCTTGCCTCTCCCAGCTCCAGCTGCCCCAGATGTTTCCTCAAGCACCATTCATTACTCCAGCCTTTGCATCTTTGGGCCATGACCCTACTTTCTGTGTTTGCCTAATCTTCTCATAAAAGTACTTAGAGGTCACATTTGATATGGGACCACCCTAATCCAAAATCACCTCTCTTTGATCAGACAATATCTGCAAAGACTATTTCTAAATAAGAACACTTTCTGAGGTTCTGAGTATATATGAATTTTGGGGGAACCTCCACCCCCACGCCCCATGTACTGCTGTGTTCTGACTTAACAGAATTCCTGGAGCACACATCCTAAACCCCTGCTCTTAGTTCCAAGTGTCTTAGTTCCAGCATGGTCTCTACACCATGCTGCCCTGTATACTCCCACACCACACAATGTCAACCCTCACTTCTGCCTTCTAGGGGCACGTTCCTTCACTAAAATAAAAAAACAAAAATGGGACACACAACACCGAATGATCCGTGCGAACTATACATCACAGAAGGTTCCTGGGGCAAGTGTCAAGTGAGAGCCAGTGGCTCGGGGTGCTGCAGCCCCTGGACAGAGTGGTAGGAAAGACCTGGGCTAGAGCCAACAGCAGGCGCCACCAGACAGCATTCCAGACAAGCATGAGGGCACCAGGGCTGGGGGCAGGAGACTTCGGGGCTGCTTCAAAGACGAGAGTGGGAGAACAGAGATTTAATTTGGGAAGAAAAAAATTTTAATAGGAACCAAAATGATAAAATTTGGGTTTAAAGAGTCCTCTGGCAGAGGAGGGCTAGACAAGTGTGGAGCCTGGAAAAACCAAGTGTTGAAACTTCTTGACAAAAGACGCCCATGTGCATGTGTACAGATGTGCATAGGCGTCATGTTTGCATCTTCTCTGCCATGGCGTTTTAACAACTTGCCTCAGAAAATGTACCAAATGTGCAGATCTGCTTGCATCTTCAGCCCCGTACACCCCCTTCCTGGCAGCTCCCGTGCCAGTCCTGTGTACACATGCTTCGGTTTCCCTCCTGACACCCACCTGTGTTCCAGATAAGTGCTAGATGGATAGGTGAAAGAGAGAGAATAAAGGTGCCTGAAGCAACAGCCATCAGAGGATGTGACCAGAGTCAACTCACCTTTGCATTTCTCACAGCAGGCGCCCCTCTGCTTAATGGCCAGCGCACAGTCCCGTGACAGCACAGGGCACTTCTCTCTCTTGCAAGTCACCTCTTTGTTCTAGGCAAAAAGAGACAAGGGACATTCGGGATCAACTTCACTGGGAATGCAAACCCACAGCTGCAGTTCACTCTTCCTATCCTGCCTTCAACTTGGCAAGAAAACTCCGAGATAGCTGATGGAATTTTTCTTTCCCTGGAACACAAATGTCCCCCAGGAATACCGGACTTTAGGAAAGTAGCATGCTTCCAGAGATGGGGGGGGGTTGAAATGTCGACTTTAAATGCCAGCCTTGCCCAGATAACCCCATCCTGAGGAAGAAGCTCTCTCTGGCTCCATCCTAAGGTTTCTCTTTAGTACACACTCCAGAAATGATAATATTTGTGTAAATCATATTTTGCCCATTGGCTACCTGGGCCAAGATTGCATCGTGAGAACAAAAATATTTTCTCACGGCTGTCCAACAAGCCTTAATAGTAGAGTGCATTAAAATGCACCGATCTAAAGTTCCAACTCAAATAACGACAAAGTTGAGCATTGAATCAGTTCAGTAACAGAAAAAATAATATTGCACATGCCAAGCACAGACACAGTCCTCAGTGTTTTATAGCTGTGGGACAGCTGTATTACATTAGCACTTATGCTAATGAAAGTGTGCTGAGCATTTGCATCTTTGGTTTTATCCCGAAAGGTTAGCAGTTAAAATGTCTTAGAGGAGATCCGTATAGGACTGCTGGCTTTGCCTCCACAGAGAGCAGAGAGGTGTTCTCCTGATCCCAAAACATGACCAACCAAAAAGAGCTGGGCTCTAACAAAGGCTTATGATAGGCTATGTGCTGTGGCTGCTATTGTAATTTAAAGCCTGTGAGATACATTCTACTGTTAAGAAAACCAAAGCACCACTCAGTGAAGGTAGTTGGCTTCCAGGTCTGAAGCAGCTTCAGTGGCCCCAGGGAGAAGATTCCCTCTGAAGTCACAGACATGCACCACCCATGCCCCAGCCTGAGGTGAGGCTGTGGCTCCTTAGAACCTTTATTTCCCAATGTGTGACAAGTTGGGAACCACAATCCCAGCTCGCTCAGCTTGGGGCATGCCTACAGCTCTCTTCAGAAGAGACCAGGAGAATGCACTCTGGTGACCTTAAGAAGAGCCACCTGTTCTCCGTGTACTTCAAGAGTGGAAGGAAGGACACCCAAGCTCTGGTGTAGGACCTTGGAGAAATATACCTGTGAGTGTGTGAGAAATGCGGGTGAGAGGGAGCAAGGACTGGGCCCTTTTCTCAACAGCTTTACTTCTATATAAGTCTGGCTATTTCCCTGCTTTCTGGCTTTTCTAAGCCACCTGAGGCCTGCCATGGCCAGTGTTGATATTCCCAAGGTTGTCCCAAGTCTGGTGGACATACCCCCAAAAAAGAGCACACACCTGGACCCCATCCTGCAAGGGCTGTTGCTGCTGGGTTTGCTTTGTCTGTTTGTTTGCTGTTTTGTTTTTTTTTGTTTGTTTGTTTGTTTTTTCTTCTTTTTTTAATCCCCAGTGAAGGATGGGAGGATGTGGTTACCTGTGCAATGCAATGTCTATTCTCTCTCTCCCTCCTTGATTCCTTCCATTTCCCTTGCTCCTTCCCTGCCCAATTCCCTTTTCTTCTTTCTCTTGATTTCTCTACTGTCTGCTGTATGGTAACTCCACCCACAGAGCTAACCAAATCCATTCATCAGATCCTGCCATACAGTAGTCTCCATTTTTTACATTTTATTCTTCTATTTTGAGTTTATTAACTTGTATTTAGTAAGAAAATTACTTCAAAGTGTAGAATTCAGTTATCTGGTTGCTAAGACCATTAAGAATTTCAGCTTTCATAGATTATAAATAGTCATAGAAAGGAGTATATACTATACAAGTGCACATAGACTTTTATAATAAGAATATAACTTACAAACACATTCATGACTCATTCATGGATAAGTTACTTCAGTAAGACTTTTTAAACTGTAAAGGCTTTTTAACCCCCCCCTTCAAACACAAAATTGCATGAGTCAAAATATTTTTCAAATTACAAACAAAGCCACATATACAAATGAAATAAATATCAATGATATGACAAGCCAGCTACCCCTGTGAAACACACTTTTGAAAGCTTAAAAATACAAATTACAAAGTAATATCCAATAGACTACTTTTCTGGATTGGAAATGTAATTATTTTGTAAGTGTGTATTTTTTCTTACAACAATGGTCATCTTGCTGTTTTAATGAGTGGTCTCCCTTCTTAACTGTACATTTAGAACACACCCACCACTGCCAAAGAGTTCCTAACAAAAGATGGGTCTGCCTCCCACCTTCTTACTGGAGCTCAGATCTGATAATACAAGAAGGCCCAGGTGATAAATCACAACTGTAAGAGTGTCCTTGTCCTCAGTGAAGATAAGGCAGATGAGGGAGATGTCTGGGGCTGAGAGGACAATTGTCCAGGTGCTCTGGTTTCAAGCCCTCCAACTCATGAATGAAAAAAGCTTCATTCTTTTTTCCCAGTGATGTTGGTTTCAAAAGTAACTATATCACAACCCACATTTTTAATAACTTTTCTTATATTCCAAACATAACATAGTTAGAATCACAATAAAAATTGAAGATATGTATATATATATATATGTATATATATATATATATATAAATATATAGGATTGATAGATAGATAGATAGATAGATAGATAGATAGATAGATAGATAGTAATTCCCATGGAAGGCAACAAGAGTAACTATCAGACATGTATGCATGTGTGTGCTGTTGGCATGTATGTATGTGTACACTGCTTCATGTTCTGGCTTCACTTGCAAAGCATGGATCCTATTTTAACACAGACTCCCTCACCCTAGGAAGACTGTGACTGACAACAAGCAGGGTTTCTATCTCACACATATGTATCAGTGCAGTAGACTTGGCCACAGCCTAGGGACGGGTCCCCTAAAACCTGTCCTCTCTAGAAGGAGGAGTCTCAGGCAGAGCTCAAACTCGCAGGAAAGTCAGAGTGATGGGGAGAAGCAATCTGAGATCTGGTAAGTCGTACACTCTTAAGAACTTTGAGCAAAATTAGAAACCTGGGAGACAGGTAAACACATAAGAGGATCTCAAGATCTAGATTAAATAGCTTGTAATTGTAGTCCACCGTGCAAGATATTCCAGGCAAATATTTGTACAGTCACATCCGGATTTTTTAAAGTATAGGGACAGTCAATCAGACACACACAAACACCTAAACTTTAGGTGTATATTTTGGGAGATGCAATTTTCTTCCTGTTTACCCTTAGAATTGTCTATGTCCTAACAGTGGTCATGTTGGAGCTGCCAGATCGGATTATTTCCCTGAAGTCTGATCAGAGTCTGGTTGGTATGGATGTGAAGATGTATTCAGTATAGCAAGCCCTCAAGGAAAACAACAATAAAGCTATGAGGACATTATTGAGAAGCTGCTTCCCCGTCCCCTTAATTGACTCTAAGAGCTACATGGGAAATTCAGACACAGGTAATTAACACTGTGTGCCTGGCTTCCTGGACTTGGACAAGACACAAAAAACTGTATCCTGGAGCCAGTGGCTCTGGCGAGGAGTGGTATGCACAAGGCCCCCCTTTCAGTTCTCATCCCCATAGTCCTGCAAATCAGAGCTGAAGCCAGAGGTTGCGACTTGTTCGGTTCAAGTTTTAATTCAGAAAACACTTTGTGCTATTGATTCCCATGTACTGGGCACTTTCTCTGATTTGTTTAGACTCTGAGCTATAAGTGCATTCTTCCACAAAACTTCATCTCAGCCAGATTTTCCAGATGAAAAAGGAAGGGTGGGCCACATTCCCAGGGTCAACAAACACAGTGAAAGAGCTAGAGCACTAAGAGGTCTCTGTCACGTAAATAGCTTGGAAGTGTAGCCCACTGTGTAATTATAGGCACTTTGGTACATCCTGGGTATTCAGGAAACCGAGTGGAAGAAAATAGCATCCCTGCCTGGGTCTCCTCACAGCATCCCATGTGTGAAATGAGTCTCTATGTCCAGCAGACTCACTCCAAGGACCTGCCTCAGAGTCAGGACATTTACAGACAGCAGGTGACAATCAGATATCAACAGGGCCAGGCCTTCAAACTCTGAAAGAAAGACTGACAATGACTGTTTTACACAAACTCCAGGTGGGTTTAGAAAATCACCTATTCTAAGCAAACAGAAACAATCGTCAAAACGCCACATTCACACAAGAAAAAGGTCAGGAGGTAATAACTTAACCAACATGTAAGAGCATAAACTCACAGCCCTTTGCTTTCTCGTCATATCTCCATGTTTACCATTTCTAGGGTCAGCCAGCTAGGGAGTTACGCCTGCTGTCTCCTGTCTCCATTTAGAAAGAAGAGACATAGACACCTTAACATCCACAAATGCATCAAAAAAAAAATCATAACCTCAGGATCCACCCTTAACATGTTGTCAACATGCAAAAAGCAAAAAGGGGTGGGTATAGAGAAGAAAAAAAAAGAAGAAAAAAATTATATATCTGGCAAGAAAACTCCATAAGGACACCAGCCAAACCACAGCTCCAGCCGCAGCCAAGTTCAGACAGGATGACAGCGGCCCACTTGCTGAGCCTGACACTCGCCGCCAGATGGCAGCACGAAGCTCCCTGGCCTCAGGAGCTGCAGCAGTGAGGTTGATTACTGCTTGCAGAACTCTCTCCTGTCTGAGAGTGGGCTAATGAGTACCGAAGACAGCAAAGCACCAATGGGAAATATTTCTAGTCGCTGCTATACACTGCAAAAGAGAAATGTCGTGGAGCTGTACTTGAATATATCCACAAACGTCTTTGAAGATATTTTTTCCGAAACTTTTTCCAGAATCAATCCCATTATAGAATACAGAAACTATCTGGTTTTTACATCTATGTTAAAAAAAAAATACTAACAATAATGTGGAGACAGAAACACAGCAGTCAGTGCAGTGAAAGTGAGGGCAAGACCATCTGCTGACAGACTATTATTAAATCATGAACAGCATCCCAAGCATCCTGCAAAACGGCGGATGTGC